TAAGAATTAGGTAGTTTTGTTTTGTTTTAAGGCAGTTGCATACTAGACACAAGCTGACCCTGACAGGACTCTGAGGAGTGGACATGTAGATGATAGGGCATCTCAGGCCCTAAGCCACGTGTTCTCTCCTTTCCAAGGAGGTCCCTCAGACAGGCGCTGATGGGGTGATGTTATCAAAAGAAGGCCCCCTTCCCAGTGTCCCCACAGGAAGGAGGCGTGGCTCTCAACTGCAGAGCTGCTTTCTTCCTAGCCTCACAGCAAAGCAAGCCTCAAGGGAAACTTATACTCAGATAAAGACTTTAAACATAAAAAAAAAAACCCAAAACTTTGCCTATGAACAATGACAAGATTTTCTAAATCTCTTCCTGGGAATAAAAACAAACAAACAAACAAACAAAAACCCCAAAACATGGAATATATGGGCTTACAGAGACCCCCTGACCCCCTCTATTTTGGTGTGAAAAGGTTTCAAAATTATATATATGATTTTTAATATCAAGCAACCCTAGAGGTAGAGCAGAGAAAAATTTTCAAAGTGGCCAAATAGAAACATAGGAAGAACTTGTCCTAATTTCTAAAATGTGGCAGTTATTGTAACCCCATTTCATACCATACCTTTATCACATTGTATTTCAAAACATTGATTAAAATAGTGATGGGAGCATGTGGGCGAAGAATTTCTGTGCTAAGTTTACTTTGTAAATGGGAACAGAATCACCTCAACCTACCATGTCTGTCTTGCGATAGGAGTTTACATTATCTCATTTATCTTAAACGGTGGCTCCTCCTCATCCAGTGTTTCACTATGAAAAAAAAAAAAAAAAAAGCTCAAGCATACAAGGAGGTTGGGGAAAACTCTTGCGTACCAGCCTGTGATTCTTCCATTACTGTACCACACAGGTATGCTTTATTACTTATCTGTTCATCTTCCTATTCATTTAACCATTAGGCTCAATCCATCTTATTTGAGGTATTTCCAGGTTGCCAACATCAGTACACTTCTAGCTTGTCTTTTTAAACGATTGCTGAATTGTGAGGTTAAGTTGTATTATAAATTATTTAAAACATTCTTTTGATCTCACCTAAGACATACCTTCACAAAAGTTAACCTAGAAGACACTTCTACAAATAATAATAATAATAATAATAATAATAATAATAATAATAAAAACAGAAAAGGTTTGACTTGTTTCAGACCAAAAGCCAAAGAATTGAGGCGTGCCTGTGCCGTGGGTGATGGAGCAATTGAGGTTCCTAGGGTTCGGTGGGAAGGGCGGTGCACAGGGGCAGGGATTATTTTAACAGGACAGTTCCGTTTTTGATGGGGATCAGCAACTTTCACAGCTATATAGGAATTGGGAGAGAGGGAGGGGCGACAGAGGCTTTCCAAAACCGTGAAAGGAGTGTCAGTTTCTAGATTTATTGAACTCGGTCTTTAAAAAGAAACAGGCGAGCAGGTGAGCCTCTACCGCCAGCGACACAGTCATCCCGGCCCTGCAGACTTCCAGCTCGGGGCGCGTGTAACGGTTCGGTGGAGTAGTCTGGAGTAGAGGGTATCTCGCACCCCCGCTGGTGCGCGTGAAAACGCACACGCGTGCGCGCGCGCACACACATACCCCTGGGCTGGGGTAGTCTGAGTGCCTTGGGGTGGAAGTCTGGGACTTGGGAAGGCTGGAGAGTGAGAAGGTTGCAGTCGGCTCCAAGACACACAGGGGAACGGAAGAATCCCGGGATCGCGGCCCGGGCTCAGTCCTCCCCCCCCCCTCCCCGCCCCCGTACTCCCCCCGCCCCCCAGCCCCGCGTGCCCGCGCGCCGCGCCGCCAGGCCAGAGAGCCCGCCTTTCACTTTCGCATCTGCGTAGGTGTCTGCCCGGGCGGGCGCGAGGGCGCGGGGGCGCGCGGGGCGGCGCGGGGGCGCGCGGCGGGGGAGGGCTGCAGCCGCTCGCCCCTTCCCGGGCCTGCAGCGCCCCGAGCCCCTGTCGGAGCGCGGGGTCGGCGGTGGGGGCTTCCCACACGCCCCGGGGCGCGGACGCACCGGCCCTCCTGGGCGCTCCCCCCACGGTGGGGGTGGGGCAGCGACCCAAGAGCTGGCTCACCGGGTGGGCAGCGGAGGCGCAGGAAAGAAACTTTTCCCTCCTGGCCCGCCCGTGGTCCTCCAGCCCTCCGTCCCCTTTCCGGTGGCACCTGCTCCAGAGGCCGGGCACCAGGTCAGGGCCGACTTTGGGGACCCTTGATGAGACGCGTGCGGGCTGCGCGCGCTGGGGATCCGCTTTCCCTTGGCCTCCTCGCTGTCAGTGGCTGGGGCTCCGAGGACGGGCACCAGCACCCTGTCTCCCACCAGCGGGTGGCAGGAGGCTGGACTGTCTCCTACTGCAAGTGAGGGTGTGACCCGGGGAGGGGGTCCTAGCGCCGCGGGCTCCCTCTCAGGCTGCCCCCCCCCCCCCCGCACACCCACACGCGCGCGCACACACACACACACACACACACACACACACACACACCCCAAGCTCTGTCGCCTGAGCTGTCACCGGCCACCCCAGCCCCGGGAGGGGGCGCGGAGAGCCGCGCTTCCCCGCCGAGGGCGCCGGGTCTCACCGCGGGACTGGCAGGCTCCCGGGACCTCCGCGGTCCTCGCGGGGCAAACCGGCGGCCCCGGAGACCCGCCGGCCCCAGGCCCGGGCCGCCACCGCTGGGGACCGGCGGGCGCTCGCAGCCCCCTCAGCGCGCCTAGGCGCCGCCGGCTCGCCGCCTCCGGCAGGGAAACCGCACGGTCGCCCTATCGCTCTACCCACCGTCAGCGGGGCGACTACCGGGATCGCCATCCTCTCCATCCTCGTAGGCGACCAGCCGGGACAGGACTCGCGGCCGGCGGCGGCAGCGGCGGAGGCGGCGGGCGTCTCGCCGCCCCCTCCCCCGCCCCAGCCTCCCTACCATGTCCTAGAAAAGGTGAGTGCGGCGACCGTCGCTCGCGCCGACAGGGGAGGGAGGGGGCCGCGGGAGCAGGGGCGGCCGCGGGGCGGCAGGACCGGCGCAGAGGGCGGAGGGCGCGGGTCCGAGGTGGGCTGCGGACCGGGTGCCCGGCGGGCCGGCGCGGGACGAGGGTGCAGGGCGCGCGGCGAGCGCGCGGCGGCTGCTCCGCGCGGTTCTAACCTAGATTTTGCAAGGAGCTTTGATCCGGGGCAAGACCTCCCTCAAGGAGGTAAAAAACTTCGTTAAAATAGAGAGCGAGAGGGGCGTCCGTGGCTTTAATGAGGAGGAGTTGGGGAGCACGGCGGAGCCGCAGCCGCCGCTGCCTGGCGAGCCCGGGCCGCCGGCTCCGGGACGCCCCCAGCTCTGGCTCGCCACCCGCGCGCGGCCCCGAGCGCGGCCGATGTTGCGACTGCTCTCCCGGCGCGCGTGACGGCTGCCCTCGCGGGAAAGTTGCGACGCCCGGCGGGGAGCCGTGTGCCCGGGGCCTCCGCGGCCGGCTCCACGCCGGGCACCGTTGGGCACCGGGTCCCCGAGTCCCCAGCAGCCGGCCGGCTCCGCTGCAGTGCCGCCCGCCTCTGGGGAGAGTTCCAGCCTCCCGGGGCTCGGGACCCGGGATCCCCGGCTTAACTAACTGTAAGAAGAGGAGGGGCCTATGGACACAAGGTGCCCTCCTCCTCCCGGGGGTTCAGCTTGCGGGGAGCAAGGGTGAGCCTGAAGCTGCACAGCTGCCGCCGGCGGCCTGCGGGTCGCCGAGGGCCAGGGGACCAGATTTAGGTGTGTACGTCACTGGCGCTGACTCCCAGCCAGCGGCGGAGTCCAAAGCCGAGCCCCACACCGGTCTAAAAGACCTTAGAAATTAAAGTTAAGGAGCCCATCCTTCGGCTTAGCAAGTGTCCGGGTGGGCGGGAGGAAAATCGGCGTGGGGGCAAAGGGAGGGTGGCGGGGTTCCTGCTCGCAGGGAGATAAATGGTCTTTAGGAAGCAGTTTCGTTCCTTCCCCTCCTCCAGTGTGCCTGCTCCAGGTATGCGCACCCCTCCACACGTTGTAAAGTAAATATCCTCGACAGTTCGCTTTCTTGTACATTGAACTAGTGGAAAAATCCAGTACTGAAGTAGTAGTACAGTAACAAAATTATCAGGCGCCTCGGCTCTTGACCCTGGCACTTTTTTTTTTTTTTTTTTTTTTTTTTTTGGCAGGGGGTGGGGTGGGAGGAAGGCTGTGTTTAAAGGGGTTTGGCTGCGCTGAAAGCACCCGCTTTTCCTGCACGGTTCAAACAAGGAAACTGAAATCGAGTGGGAACGCGATCCCCTGGGTCTCGGACCGCGGAGACTACGCCTGCTCGGCAGAGAGGTAACTCCGAGACCTGGAGGGGGGCGGGGAGCAGGGCGCCCGGGGTCCCGGAGATGCCCACCCGAGCGGTTCCGGGCCTGCGGACGCCGTGGGCGGCGCTGGGCGCGCGCCGCTGCGGCTCACCTGGCGCTGCAGGTGGAGGGAGCCGGGGCACAGCATCCAGGCTGCCGCCGCGTCACTGCGCTGTCCCCTTCTCTCCGGCTTGCCTGCGGTGCCCCGTGGGGACGGTGGGGTGGGCGAGGGCAAGTTTGGGGCGAGGGAGCGAAGCGGGTTAAAGGCTAGCGAGTGCAGGGGTGCCCCGGGTCGCGGCCACCTCGGGGACCCGGGAGAACCCGCCGCCTCTGCGGCTTTAAGGAAGCTGCGGAGTCCAGGCTGTGTCGCAGCAACTTTGTATCAGTCATGTCGCCCGCCCGGTGACTGACAACCTCGACTGTCCAATGAGAAGCGCGCCTGGCCCGCACAGCGTGGAGCCTGGTTTCCCCCTTGGCCAATGGGAACGGCTCCGGCGGGCGGGACGGCGACCTGAACTTTCTGGACATGTGACCCGCTTTTAAAAGGGCCGGCCTTCCAACTAGCCCACTCCCCCTCGGGGCTTCCCTCCCTCCGCCGCACGACCTGGCCCTGCCCCGGCCCCTCCCCTAGCTCCTGCGCACCCGGGGTGTCATTGGGCCCCGGAGAAGAGAGCCAACTTCAGGCTGCTCGGAGGAAGCCCGTGCAAGTCACCTGGGCGCCAGCGCTGCCGCTCGGGCTCTCCCCCTGCAGGGAGAGCGGCACTCGCCGGCCTGGATGTGGCTGGATGTGGGGGGACTCCGCAGCCAGGGTGTCGTGGCGGTGACAAGCGCTGCAACAGGTAGACAGCGAGCGGAGGACCCCGGCCGAGGCAGGTGTGTAGCGGGGCGCAGCGGGGCGCCTCCGGTCCTGCCCGGCGAGTGGCCGCGGCGAGGGTGGCTCGCACTTTGCAGGGAGAAGCCGCTGCGTAATCCGGAGGCACAGTCAGTATGGTGCTGTGTGCTTGTTGTTTTGTTTTGGTTTTCCACCCCTCCCCCCCCCCCCCCCCCCCGGGCCGGCTGAGGACTATTTTGGGAAAGTTTGGCCACTTTGGATAAATGCCCTCTAAACAGCGGCTTTTAACCGCCTTTGGCAGTGGGCGGTCCTACTACCCTCCCCTTCCCCCCCCAAAAAAAATGAATTTCAGATCGTTTTCCTCTTGCAAATTTTAAAGGACAGTTGAATAATGTTTCTTTCATCTATCAATTGCGGAAGCTCCTCAGGCTGAGTGGGAGGTGTAGCGATAAGGGCAGTTGAAGGAGCTAGATCCCCATAGATCTTGTATGAACCGGCTCTGGAAAATCTTGCGTTTCCCATTCCTTTATATCTGGGGGAAGCTAGGGGAGTCTTAGGGCCGAGATAGACAGGGGATGAAGCTGCTGTTGGTGGCATCCTTGCCCAGACGGGTTTTAGACGCATGGCTTTTCCTGCTGAATTTTTAAGAGACGGGGTTTAACTCATAATGCTTTATCATACCATCTGCTTTATTTATTTATTTATTTATTTAGGCATAGTTCGGAAAACTTTTGATAGCAGACTCATTATTAATGCCGCTGAATTTTAAAGGCACCGAACTGTACCTTAACATTAAGGGTCCTCTTACTCTAGGTGCTGTTATTAGTGATCTTTCCACGGCAATGATAACAGCATTCTCAATCTGTGTAGTCCTCCCCAGGAGCTTTCATTTCTCATTTCACATCATGACACATTACCGTGTGTGTCATGAAATGCTTTCGGAGAGAAGTTTGGGAGGGGGGCGGATAACGCACAGCCTTTTCCTTTATGGAGTAGGTACTTTTTTTTTTTTTTGGACAGCTGATGTGGCTAATGGGTCAGGCAGGTGGACAGAACTCAGGTGTGCCTAGCTCTGACTGGTTCTCCTACTCTCCTAGCTGACCTTGGCAGATTTATTCTATTTCCCACTCCTGGGTAAGAGTGGAAGGTTCACAGTCCTGAAGAGCAAAGCAACTAATGCTAGCTTCCTGAAGTCATGTTCTGCCTTCTCAAACAGTCCTTGAGGCTGGGGCTCTACTGTCTCCACACTCAACAGCAGATTATTGGGGGAAAGATGCCATTAAGAAGGGGGTACTTGGGGGGGGGGAGCGTTACAATTGAAAGTTTTCAGAAAAGATACAGATTCCCAAGGATCTTTAATAATTTCGGGAAAAAGAGAAACAACTTTTTTTTTTTACAAGAAAGGATGATTTAACAGACTATGAAACAAAATTTTAAAGTCTATTTTCTTCAAGAAATAGGATGTAAGTGTACATCTATTTCACAGCTTTTGAGAGGTTTAGAGCTATAGAGACCTGACATGTGGCTCATTTAGGACAATAGTGGCAAGTGCCCCTCAGGATTTTAGTGTGTCCTCTGAACACACACACACACACACACACACACACACACACACACACACATAAAACCTGTTGGTTTTTTCCTTACCTATGTGAATTTTTGCATGAAAATAAAGGTTTATAATGACCCAAGAGTCTGTGGTATAGTGTTCACTGTGAAGCTTATGGGCCTGATTTTCCCTGAGCTAGGACTTCATATAATTCATTGCTTTATTTTCTACGTAAGTAACAAAAACTTTCCCTTTACCCTCAGGATAAAGTTTCATGAAGAGCATACCCATCAAGTCATATTTTTAGTATTCACTGGTAAGTTCAGGTTGACTGAACTACTGTTCAAAGCCGTGGTCATTATGTCAATTCTAAAAAGCCAACCCCAGTTTCCTGGACCATACAGGAAATAAATTTCTAACCTAACTCATCTGTTTGTAGAAAATACTAACTAAAATAATAACCAAGGAGAACTCAGCATAAAATATTTCAGTAATCCTGTTTTAAGAGCATCTGATCTTGGAAACAGTGTTTGCAGAGAAGCATGCCAGCTGCTGTCCACCCTTTTGAGTTGGTTGCCAGCCTTTACTTTGTTTTCCTTGCGAGGTAGATGAGGTTGATAGATGAGGATACGTTGAACAAAGCCAATTTAGATTTCAGCAAAGCCTCTGGCAACTTCTTCATGATAGTCCTGTCAATAACCTGGTGAAATACAGTCGGCCCGAGGAGATTGTTCTGAGACTGCAGGGTTTGGTGAACCTGGACTTGGAGTTGAGATCAGCTGTTTGATGTTAGCTGATAAGGAGTTTCCCTGTAGAAAGAAACTGGCTGGTGCCACTGTCTCCAGGAGGGATTCTACTGTGAGCTTTAGAGAGGTTTGTAGACCTGGCATGTGGCTCATTTAGGCAATAGTGACAAGGATGTTAGTAGGTCCCCTGAAGGACAATATGTAGAGAAATCAAAGTATTTCCGGCAATGCTGGATTAAAAATACACTGCTTTCTTCACTTTGTGGTCTCGCAGGGATTTTGGAGTCCACATTTTCACTGTGAAGCCCTAATAAAAAGCAGAGTGCCCACCTATCCCAAAAGACACTGGAGTGGGTGAGGTTCTGGAGAAGGGTCTGGGTGAGGGTTGCCTTCAGACTCAGGGCAGATAGCCCTGTTGCCTAGGATTGCGGGGAGGTGGAGGTGGAGGGCTACAGGAATGAGGAGGAAGGTTCCTGCTGGAGCCTTGTAGGGAGCATGAGAAAGGACCACTTCTCCTTCAGGGAGCTCATGGTGCAGTGCTCCAGAGAGGAGCGTGAGTTTGGTGATGGAGAGGAAGATAGATGCACACAGGGGCTTCTGTTCTGAACACAGGCATGGTTCTTGTGAGGCATAATGGATTTGAACCTGAAACATCTGTATCTCAGCTGCAGAAAGAGCAGAAGCTTCTCTGTAGAAGCAGACACAGCACACAATCTTTACTATATTTTTCAATTTATTGCTATACTAAATGAGCTTTCAGAAGAGTAAAAAAGTCCATTACTAGCCGTGATTTGGGACCTAGTTCACTTTGTGTGTGCATGTGTGTGTGTTTCAAATTTTACTTGGTTTTAATCCATACTTACTGTTTTTGACATTACCAGATAACTACCTCAATCTTTGTGATTTGATTTATTTTCAACATTTTAGTGATTGATTTTTGATTAAGAATTAATAGAATAATGTTCTTTAAGTGAAAGCATGCTACATAATTGGTAGACGTTAAGGTTCATAAATTGAGTATTGATTATAGTATCAGAGTTAAACATTTTTATTTGCATTTTACTATTCATCTGGGACACAGTGGTAAAATTGATAGTTTCCGACTACCCAGAAACATAATTTAAAATCTGTAGAATACGGAGAAGTCAGGGGTTATTGTAATACTCGGGCAATTTGTGTATTACACTTCCTTGTAGAGGCTCATGAGATGTAATGCCAGGTTATTTAGTGGAGTCATTGTATTGTTTTGCGATGTTAATTAATATAAATTCTGTAGAAAAGGACTTCCTGGTCTTTTTTTTTTTTTTTTTTTTTTAATGAGGAGGGGGGAAAGGTGAAGCAAAGAAAAGACACAAAGCTTTACATGTGAAGAACTGCAGGCTTGGCTGGGCATACATATGAAACACATACAGGCACGATTTTTAATACTAAGATGTATAGATAAGATTTTTCCGGACAGAATCAACTTTCTGTCAAATATTCCTTTACAGTGGTCATTTTTTGTTTGTTTGTTTGTTTTTGTTTTGTTTTGTTTACAGCACATGTCCAGGGATGGCTTTGCTCCCTAAGGACCTTTGGTAATTTGCTGACACTCTTATTGGTTGTCACAGCGGGGGGCGGGGGGGCACTCTGGTGGGGAGGAGGCAGAGCGCATGCCTGCCATCTTCTGCTGCATGAGGAGCCCCCACCTCCCCATGCAATAAAAAATGACCTGCCTGCAAGTGTCCTTAAGACCCAGGTTGGGAAACACTGGTAAATAGAGAGACCTGAGATCAAATTCCAGCTCTTCCACTTAGCTGTGTGGCCAGCATCTCTGGCTCTGGCTTGTAGTGTTAACTCCTTGGTTTCTGTTTGTTGGTGTGTGTGTGTGTGTGTGTATGTGTCTAGGTTGGTTTGTAAAGTTAAATAATGTATCAGAAAGGCTTGTAATCGTGTGTTGAATTATATAGCTTATAATAATTATGCACACATAGTCTATTATAATCTGTTCATGAACTAAGAGGAGATGGAAATGAATGGATATTGAAGAAACTCCCATTGGCTCCTTTTGGATGGAAACTAGAAGGTCTGTTTTGTTTCTTTTTTTGGGGGGGTGGTTGTTTGTTTGTTTTTTACTACAGATTCATGACTGTTCTTAGACCCAGAATGTAACAAGTGCCTGGGAAATATTGCTGAATAAATGCTTAAATGATCAAGGCCCTTCGTAAGCTTCCTCCATTTGCGGTTGAGACTAAAACCATCTGGCTGTGGAAGACTTGGGCAGAGGTGTTGCTAGGTCAGGGTGCTTGTTAAAGTCTCTTCCTGCACTGAAGCGCAAGAAAGTCCGGCTGCCGCTGACCTGTCTGGCAACTGCTCTGATCCAAGTCAATCAGTTTATATAAACCTGTACTTTTCAGAACTGACCCTGCCTGAACTGTCTTCACCGCTAATATGCCTTAAGGAACTCGGACTGTTTTAGAAACAATTCGTCAATGTTTTTTTTTTTTTTTTTTCCTATGGCTATTCATTTGGTAAGCGTATATTTGGAAACTGTAATTTTAATTGCATTTCCACATCATTTATAATAAGGCCATATATTTGATCATATGGCCAGCAGCTTTCATGTGGTCAAAGTTTCCCTAAAACCTTGGAGTCATAAAGGTAGTTGTTTGTTTTGTTTTAGTGTATAAAGGAGCTTTAATATGGGAGAGAGCTTAAGAGCGAGGAAGGAAGCCACGCTCTTGAGTAGAAGTGGATCCCAAGAAAAGGTTACCCAGGTTAGTCTTAAATTTGACTTTTGTTACTATGCTTTTGGCTTTGTCCAGTCAAACATTTTCCCCTCTGACTACCTCATCAATCCCTACAATTATATTGAATATTGTTCAATATCCAAGAAAGTCAACATATGTAAGTGTTTTTTACAAGCTGTAGAGGTGGTATTGTAGCGACTTTTATTGAGACCCTAAATTATATTTGGTTCTTCTCCTGTCTTCTGAACAAGTTGGAGTCGATATTCTGTTTGTGTAATGTATTGTGTCAGCACCCAAGAAGGTAAATTTTAATGTAACTAGAAATATTGTTTATGTTAAGTAAAATATACATTGTAGTTCAATAAATGCAGTTTTAGAATGCATTTTAGAATACAAAACTGTTGTTATTGACGCTAACATTTTAATCTAAATCTGCTTTTAGCAATGGAAACCAAAGGCTACCACAGTCTCTCTGAAGGTCCAGATATGGAACGACGCTGGGGTCAAGCTTCTCAGCCGGTGGAGCGTCCTTCACTCGGACCTGCAGAGCCCACTGATGAGAACAACTACATGGAGATTGTCAACGTCAGCTGTGTTTCCGGTGCTACTCCAAACCACAGTACTCAAGGAAGCAGCAAGGAAAAACACGAGCTACTCCCTTGCCTTCAGCAAGACAGTGGTCGGTCTGGGATTTTAACATCTGATATTAAAACCGAGCTGGAATCCAAGGAGCTTTCCGCCACGGTGGCTGAGTCAATGGGTTTGTACATGGATTCTGTGAGAGATGCCGAGTACACCTATGATCAGCAGAACCAGCAAGGAAGCGTGAGCCCAGCAAAGATTTACCAGAACATGGAGCAACTGGTGAAGTTTTACAAAGAGAACGGCCACCGGGCCTCCACGCTCAGCGGAATGAGCAGGCCTTTGAGGTCGTTCCTGCCTGACTCCGGGGCCTCCGTGAACGGTGGGGTCTTGCGCGCCGCTGTGAAGAGCCCGATCATCTGTCACGAGAAGAGCCCCTCCGTTTGCAGCCCGCTGCACATGCCATCTTCCGTGTGCAGCCCCGCGGGCATCAGCTCCATGCCCTCCTCCACAGCGAGCTTTGGCAGTTTCCCAGTGCACAGCCCCATCACTCAAGGAACTCCTCTGACATGCTCCCCCAGTGTCGAAAACCGAGGCTCGCGGTCCCACAGCCCCGCACACGCTAGCAACGTGGGCTCCCCTCTCTCCAGTCCGTTAAGCAGCATGAAGTCCCCCATCTCCAGCCCTCCGAGCCACTGCAGTGCAAAGTCTCCCGTCTCCAGTCCCAACAACGTTCCTCTGCGCTCCTCTGTGTCCAGCCCGGCGAATCTGAACTCAAGGTGCTCCGTTTCCAGCCCTTCCAACACCAACAACAGATCCACGCTCTCCAGCCCGACAGCCAGCACAGTGGGCTCCATCGGCAGCCCCGTCAGCAACGCCTTCGGCTACGCCGCTTCAGGCGCCTCCGCTGGAGCCGCTGCCCTCCAGGACGTGGTTCCCAGTCCAGACGCCCACGAGAAAGGTGCTCACGAAGTTCCTTTCCCCAAGACAGAGGAAGTCGAGAAGGCCATCTCCAACGGTGTGGCTGGCCAGCTCAGCATTGTCCAGTACATAAAACCAGAACCAGATGGGGCCTTCAGCAGCTCCTGCCTGGGAGGAAACAGCAAAATCAACCCCAGTTCGCCATTCTCGGTACCAATAAAGCAAGAATCAACCAAGCACTCATGTTCAGGCGCCTCTTTTAGAGGGAACCCCGCGGTCAACCCATTTCCGTTCATGGACGGCTCATATTTTTCCTTTATGGATGATAAAGACTACTATTCCCTATCAGGGATTTTAGGACCACCTGTGCCCGCCTTTGAAGGCAGCTGCGAGGGCAGCGCATTCCCAATGGGGATTAAGCAAGAACCAGAAGATGGAAGCTATTACCCCGAGGCCGGCATCCCATCCTCTGCCGTCGTTGGGGTGAATTCGGGTGGACAGTCCTTTCACTACCGGATTGGTGCTCAAGGGACAATATCTTTATCACGGTCACCTAGAGACCAATCTTTCCAACACTTGAGTTCCTTTCCACCCGTCAATACGTTAGTGGAGTCGTGGAAACCGCACGGCGACCTGTCATCTAGGAGAAGTGACGGATATCCGGTCCTAGAGTACATTCCAGAAAACGTGTCAAGGTAAGCTGACTTGCTTTGTAATCCTTTCTCTCCTATCCCTCCTCCTAGCACCCTGCCTCCCATCATGACTTTGTGAATTGTTACAGTCTGTCTGTATTTCTGTGATCGAGAGGGATGGTCATTTTGGGTTCTCCTTAAAATGTTGATCTAGCACTAGTTCTTGAAGTAGAGAAACCAAAAATTCTGAAGATCTTTTATAAGACGTTGTGTTGACCTTGAAGAAACATATATAGGCATTTCTCTGTTGTCCCTTGTAGGTGTTTGGAAAATGATTATTTTCTAGCACCAGTGACTGTATTTACTTTAGCAGACCAATGCTCATTTTTTTCCCCTATCACTGTTTTCTGAGACCGGATTAAATGACTTTCCTCATGGCTTTTGTCTCCTTTTCATATTAAAATTCTTTATTAATTACTTCCATAGTTGTGAGAAATAAAACAGACCCACAAGTCTGTTACCTACAAGCTTCTTTATCTCTATTTTAGAGGAAAACTTCTTTTTGGGGGAAGAGCTGGTACGGCTAATTATATGAAAGTTGTGGTTTCCTGTTCAAATAAATCATTTCCTTAACTGTGAAAGCCTTTAAAGACTCAGTCATCTAAAAGCACTTGGTAGACAATTTTACTTTCTTATGGTGGGAATGAAATATGTCACCATAGTGTTGAATTGGTAGACTTATAAGTCATGAGCTCGGCAAGAAGACATACTGTATTTACTGTAAAAACGTGTCTTGGTTTTCCTTGTTGCAGACTGTGCTGTGTGTGTTTAGGAAAACAAGGAAGAGGGTTGAGATGTGAGTGTAAAGGTGGTTCTTATAAAGCGAACACGTGCGTTGGACTTTGCTCCAACTCTGGCTTTAGTACATGAATGTGATAAACGAGCCTTTTGTAGAATATATAAAGTCTAACTTTTCTGACTACGGTTCATTCTTTTGGCATCTAGGTCCATGTGGATATTGTTATTTCGTCACATTTTTATTTTGTGAAAAATATGTCCATCTTATTAACAGAATACGGGTATATCCATAATCTCATAACTTTTACTGTTTCTTTTTCAAACACAAGGCAAAACTTTCGGTTTGAGAACGCTTTTCCTTATCACTGGTTCAAACCTTTCTCGTCTTGCTTTTATAGAAGCGAATGTCCCAGAAAGAATGCATTCCTGGCAATTCTTCATGGCACAGACTGTCATATTGCAGTGCTGGACCTCAGTCCCTCCTGGCTACCCAGCAGCCCACGTCCGTACGCATACCAGCACACAGCCCGTGCTTGTGTGGAGAGGGTTCGCCTCCTCTTGTGAATACAGGAAAAGGGAATGCTTTCTGCTTGTGCACAGGCTGGTTTTGTGTCAATTAAGATTGGCTTTCCATGTTTGATTGTGAAATTTTTAGTGTTGCTTGACATTCTGTAGGCTGATAAATCTTTGCAGCTTTCCTTGGTGAAGGCCATCCAAGCCTATTTGTTTTCTCATTTCAAGAAGACAGGCTTGAGGATCAGAGGGGACATAGGCTGTTTTGTAGATTTTGGTACACACACTATAATAATTTCATCCGTTTCATCATTGGTCTCTTTCTTTGTATCTTTTTAGATAAAATCTGTTTTCCCCATTTTCCACTTATGATGATAATATCTCATTTCAAGGAACGTTGGGTAAATTAAAGAATTGATTGTGATGAATCAAGGCTATGTGTCATGTCTCTAGGTCTTACTAACTTCCCTCCTCTCTGGGAAAAGCCTATTTTAAAGATTTCAGAGTGTTATCTGAGGGTTTCTGAGGATTCATGAAATCATAAATGAATGAGTAGAAGATTTATGAACATGAAAGGTAGACCAATGGAGCTTCATTGGTAGCGATATCTGAGTAGCTAGGGATTGCTTCAGTTTCCACACTGTAACTGTTTACCATTCACCATTTCCAAGACAGCACTCAAGGTTCGTTTTCACTATGGTCCCAAAGAATCAAGCCTGCAGTGATATGAACAGACCTTTAAAGCATTTCATCCCGTTTCTGAGAAATCCATGTGAGGCTATATTTTTTTCATATGCGTGGCATAAACTATATTAGTATAGTTGAATGTGGGTCTTGGTATGAGAATCTGGCTTATATTAAAGGAAGACAGTAGGCTTGCCAGGAAAAAAAAATGGCCAACTTCTTTACCAAAGTTTATCATCTAGAGAAATAAAGTCATTTTTTCTTAAGCTTATATTTTTATTAATATGTGATTGTTAAATAGCAGTTTTGGCTTATAATTTATTTTTTTCTGTAACTCACATAAACAAAGGATTGATTTTTATGTCTTGGACCTTTGGTGTGTTTTTGTTTTGAAACCTGTATGCTATCTCTCCTAGCCTTAGACCTTCCTACGCCAGCCTCCCAGATGCCAGGGACACAGGCCATGCCACCAGGCTTCCTAGCTACCCAGGTGTGGTGGTGCACGCCTATAGTCGCAGCACTCAGGAGGCAGAGGCAGGTGGATCTCTGTGAGTTTGAAGCCAGCTTGGTCTATAAATCCAGGACAGCCAGAGCTACATAGAGAAACCCTGTCTTGAAAGTAAACGAAACGGAATGGGAGAAAGGAAAGAAGGAGCTTCTAGGATGGAAATTGATAATTGCTGGTCAGTCCCGTTCTCCACACGTTTTGAAAGTTGATCAAAAAAGCCGATATAATTTGCATTAGCCTACCAAGCATTACTTTGAAAGAGTATCCTATTCAACCAAGAAAAGCTATTATCACCTCCAGTATCTTTTTAGCTGACAGGAAAGGGTACGGGCCATGGCGTACGTGTCTTCACTTTGCTATGTGGGCAGTCTGTGGGACCAGTGACGAAAGTCATGTCTGTTAATCATTCCCAGGGAAGAGGCTGAGTTCCAAGTTGTAAAGTAAATTATGACCAAGCTAAATGTAAAGCCTTAGGGTGGACACTGGACCTAGTTGTGTCATGTGGGTTAGAGTTTCCCTGTCAGCTTCAGTGCAAACAAAACTGTGACCTCCAATGAGTCATAGCCTCTCCCTCCATTCCTCAGTTTCTTTGTTTTAAAGCAAGGGAGCAAATTTTGATTCTCTGTGAAGTCTCAGTAAAGTGACTGAGACTCCCTTTGCCGGATCAAAAGAGTGTCCCTTAATACAACTGTTAATCTGACCTCAAAAAAATTTTTAAACACACATATCTCTCAATATATCCTTATCCAGATGAAGAAATTATTTGCCATGTTCGAGTGAGCATAAGTGGGGGTGACCTCTCATTGAAAATTTGAGGCTGTTTTTTGGAGGGTCCTTTTTTGAATCCAATGTTTCCCTTTATAAAATTCTACACCTGCCATGAATTCCTTGTTCTTTTTATTTGCATTATTCCTGGCTCAAGCTGGCCATTCTGTTGACACAACACTGGCTGTTTATGGCAATAGCCATCGTCACTTTGATAGTCTCATAATGCAGTGCTAACATTGACTTAGACTTTTAAATAGAAAGTCCACTGTTTCAAAGGGCAGAGACTGGCAGCTTCCAATACAAGCAAGTAAGAACTTACCATAATTCGTAGTTTTCTTTATAACAGAGGAGTAAAATTTAGAAAATCTCAGATACTTGTTTTTATTTGGCAATTATCTTTGACTTTTTTTTTTTTTAACTCACTTTCTGTGGTGATACAAAAGTTTCACAATTCAAGAAGTTTGTGCCAAACGTTTCCCTCTCAGTAAAATTTTTCAGATAAGCTGCGGTGACGTATGTAGCTTTCCATGCTTCAGACTGCAGAATCACAGCAGAGTGATGGAGGCATACTGTGTGCCTGATTTCTGCTGCTGACGATAGTAAATCCACGATGGCCTTAGCTTTGCTTACGCTGTGCGTGCGAGCGTCAGACAGCTTTGCCGAGGACATCTGGGAGTGAGGACAGGTAGCATTCTTTTGCTTACTTGTTACATAATATTTTGACTTTTAAATGGTTAACATATCTATAATTTCTCTAGGTGAGTCTTTTAAATACCATTTTTGAAATGACTTTAAAATGAGATTTGCTTCTCATTTACTTATTTCTAGAGAAATGAGTGATTATTTTTTTTTCGGGGGGGGGGAACAAACAAAAAAGCAAACCAGCTTATAAGTGAGTAAATACCATATGTGTCTTTCTGCTTCTGGGTTACCTCACTCAGGATGATCTTTTCTAGTTCCCACCATTTGCCTGAAAATTTCAAGATTTCCTTGTTTTTAATTGCTGTGTAGTATTCCATTATGTAAATGTACCACAATTTCTATATCCATTCCTCCATTGAGGGACATCTAGGTTGTTTCCAGATTCTGGCTATTATGAATAAAGCTGCCCTAGGGAAAATGCTTAATCCTCATTCAGAAGGGCAAAGAGGATAGACATCATGACATCAGAAGTAGGAGAAGACAAGGAACAGGACAGGAGCCTTCCACAGAGGACCTCTAAAAGACTCTACCCAGTAGGGTATCAAAGGAGATACTGAAACGCAGACCCAAACTTTGGCAGAGTGCCAGAAACCTTATGGAAGAAGAGGGAGATAGAAAGACCTGGAGGGGACAGGAACTCCACAAGGAGAACAACAGAGCCAAAATTCCTGGGCCCAGGGGTACCTGCAGAGACAAATACTCCAACCAAGGACCATGCATGGGGAGGACCTAAACCCCTTGTTCAGAGGAAGCCCATTGAGGGTGCTCGGTGTCCAAGTGGGTTCCCTAGTAAGGGGAACAGGGGCTGTCTCTGAATGAACTCAGTGGCCGGCTCTTTGATCATGTCCCCCTTTCAGGGTGCAGCCTTGACAGGCCACAGAGGAAGATGATGCAGCCAGCCCTGATGAGACTGATAGACTAGGGTCACATATAAGGGGAGGAAGACCTCCCCTATCAGGGGACTAGGGAAAGGGTATAGGGGGAGAAGAGGGAGGGTAGGTGGCACTGAGAGGAGACGAGAGAGGGGACTGCAGTGGGGATACAAGTGAATAAACTGTAATAAATAACTAACTAAATAAATAATAAATAA